TATATTATGATCCACTTTGGTTTAAAACTGAAAAGAATACGGACATATATTCAGACATACATGATAAACCCAGAAAAGCAAACAATTAACTACTAATAGTGATTTCCTCTGAGGAATATGAGAGAAACTTTTCATTTTATGCCTTTGACTATATCTTAACTAAGCATTCATTTTTAAAAAATTGAAGATGTGGCATCACCAATCAAGTATTTATATGCTAATGGCATGCCTAACCCTGCTACCAGGCAAAATTCATGGCCCCACGCTCTCCAGGAGTTTACAATCCAGCTGAGTTTATAATTAGATTTGTAACAGACAACCATCTATTTGTTTTGGACATTCACCTGTCAGAAAACGGAACCAGATATTTTCTAAGTATTTTTCCACTTAAGAATCTACCAGAACAAATCACCACCTAAACAGTTTGAATTTCATGTCCTATCCATTGTTTAGACCAATAATGCTTGCAACTAATAAACTGCTATTTCCTGCCTCAGTGTTTAAGGAAGGAGAACAGGAGGACTCTTTACAGACAATCCAATTAAACACATATTACAATGTGCAAGATTAAAAAGACAAAGGCCATTTCTCAGTACCTTCTTCATTACAGTTCCTGTATTTTCTATAAAGATCATATATGAAAGCTATAAAAAGGAGATGGGGGAAAAAAAAATACATACCCTTCTCAATTCCCCCCCAAAAAATCCTTATTTTTGGTGGCAACATAACATAACAGGAGGGCTAACTGAACTGGTTCTGGTTCAACCTATCTTCCTCCCACTTCAGTACAGGGATTTCCCAAAGGTTAGCATTCAAGAGAATTCATAGCAAAACCAACATGAATCATCCAGATTCAAGTGTTCCCTTTATAAAATGTTTAGTCCACACTGTCACCCAATTAGAGCATAATCCATAATGAAGGCATTATTGCTGACAAGGGAGGCAGGATGGGATCTGGGTCACTCCTCTATAATTCTATTAGTTCCTCTCAAGCCAATAAAGAAAATTCTGTGTTAGCAAAGTATTTAGCTGACAATGAAAGTACACAGGAATCATGATGTAATTCATTTCTACCGCTTACCCAAGGAAGGGGGTAAAAAAGCAGAGACGAAAAATATCTAGTGGAAAACTGAGGAGTTTTTCAAAAGGTATCTTACCTAATAATGCAAACAATCTGGAGGTTTCAGAAACCATCACAACTGAAAAGCACTGAGTTAATGTACCTCAAATACTCCAATAATAATGGCAATCAATCAATCAATAAATAAACAACAAACAAACTAGTATCAAATACTAAGTGTCTGACCAAGATAAGTAATTTCCATTCTCAATCTCTTTGAATATTGCAACAATTACACTTAGCAGAAGTGAAACTGAGGGACAGAGTTTAAATAACTGTTCATGGTGGTACACTCAGTAATTGGAAAGCCAACAGGTAAAAATCAAGCAGTCTTCACCCCAAATCCCACACTCCTTAAACACCACACTAGCTTTTCTCTAACTGCTCCCAACCTCCTCCCCAATCCAGTCACAATCAACCAAAAATTCCCTAGTCATTCTCTGAACCCAAATGCCCTCCTTGGCTTTTAGTGATCAGAAGCCCTTGCATGAAAACCAGAGGCCTGGAGATAATACTGTGCTTATCAAAAGCCACTTTTTAAACACTTGCCTCTGTTAGTGGACTTAGGCCTCATTGCCTAGCACTCTCTTGAGACTCACTGTCTGGAGTAGTTCTTTCCCGGCACCTGCATTCTCTTAACCACTGGCATTTATGCACAGTTTGCCCAAAGGTGCTCACTCAGAAAAACAGTTTTTCCGAACAACAACAATAGCTGCCATACTGAGCCATAGGTGGCAAGCTCTGTGTTTTACACTGTCTCCTTTCTTCCTCATATGAGCCTAACAGACCTGTGCCCATTTTATTACAGATGAGAAAACTAAGGCCCAGAAAGGTAAAGTAATTCAATTCAATCCAAAGTCACAGAGTTGGTGCTGACTAAAATCTGTTGCTGTGCAACTTAAACCTTCAGAAGTCTCGTCTTTTAATTAAGAAAATGTGAGGTCCTCCTGGAGCGCTCTCTCTCTCTCTTTTAAGCCACCTTCCACCAACCTATGCTCTCAGCTACTCGAATCCCTCTCCCCAAGTGCTTACCTGAATTTCTTCATTTTCATCTACTAGGAGGAAACTCACAACCTTCTCAGTCATCTTCTTCCTCTTGGTCTCCTCATCCATCTCTTCCTCCTCCAGTGACTCCTGGGCCTTAGCGACATGGTACACAGTCACTGGGTGTCTCCTTTTATTGCCCCCAGAATGAGTCCTTTTCTGGCACTCCAAGCACAAGTTGATTTTGCAGGTCTGGCACCTCCCAGCTGCCCTCTGCCTAACACCGTTGGAGCCCTTGCAGGGGTCACAGTAAGGGATGTGACCGGGTTTCAGCCTTATCCGCTCATGGTTTCTCAGGCGCTCCTGCCGATGGAGCTCTTCCTCACAGCGGAGACACTGAAGGCTGCAACACTCATCACACTCAAACACAGCTTCGTCTGACCCGCTGCAGGCGTAACTTTCCTGGCACATAAGTCCCGGATTCAGGCCCTTCTCTGCAGGGAAAGTCTGGGCACTCATACTCAGTTTGAGATGGAGACACTCACCACCCAACAGTCACTGAAGCTGTTTCCCAGAAGTGCTGATAAGAGCCTTGAGCCTGAAGACTGCAACAAGAACGTCCACAGGATTCTCAACAGCTTAAAGAAATTTTGGGGGCCCAGTTATAATTTGGGGGCCCAGTTATACTTCTTCCCACAGATAATTGTATTTTTAATTTTTTGCCCTCCAGATTACTGACTCAGTAGCAGCAGTGTTGATCTACCTGGCTTGATGGTTTCATTTTCCATGAAGTGTAGGCAAAATAGGTGGTCAAAATTAACCTGGAAGTGTCTTTTATGGCTAGCAGAGAGAGGTCTGTTAGGTTCACAGAGGTGGCTCAGTGGGTGAGCCTTCGCCACAGGTTTCAGTGATGAAAGAGAGTGGTCAGGAGGAGCTTTTCAATAGGATCCAACCTCAAGTCAGTATTACAGAGGATACCTAGAATAGAGGAAGGAAAAGGATTTCACTCACCTAAAAACAGAAGTGCGCCTTTGTCTTTAAAAAGAGAGAGAGAGAGAGGGTGGTAAATGTTAGGCCAAAACTCCTGGAAGAAATCTCACTCTTGTTTGCAAAACTCACACTGGCTTATAATGACACTAGAAATGTCTTCTCAAAACTCGTGGCTAAGACTCCTCCTTCAGAAAACAAATGCCACCTACAGGCCCAAGGTACTTAAGAGGCTGCTGCTCCAAGATTCTCTGTTCATTCAGTTATTAAATTCAAGATCAAAATCATTAAGTTGTCCTTATAGGTACAAATGTTCTACAACTTTGATCCCACCCTACAGATAATGAGAACAATAAACAACTTAAAAAAAACACACACAAAACCTCAAAGAAACCACAAAATTCCCCAACAAAAGCTTTCATTTCATCAAAAACCAGGTAGTGGTTACTGTGTCTGGGCTGTTTCAACTCTTGATAGATACCTATTATTCAGGCCTCTAAACCTGGTACAAACAGTCACCATTTCATGTCTGAAAGTAATTTATAAAAACCCAGTTATTGTACACTCTTTTGTCTCTTTTAGCTCTAACTGGAGAGAGAAAAGAAAAACAAAAACCACACACAACAAAAAGCAACAGGAGACAGAATTCCTCCACTATGGCCCATGGAAATCCAGGCCTGCAGTGAGTCAAAACAAATAATCTTTCTCTTTGTCACTCAAAAACTAACTTAAAAATAACTTCCCCTACAAAAAAAGAGAAAAAGGTAACCGGGGCAGAAACGGGGCTTTTTTGTCACTTCTACAATTATATTCCTAACTGCCCTTGGCCTTGTCCCTGGGAACAAAGTGCAAATCAATCTATCAATCTTGTTTTTACATAAACAAGGAAAGCCAAGGCAGAGACTAAGGAACCTTGTTTCCACCCTCACTTAGCCAGGTCCAGCCAGCTCCGAATACGGAAAAATCAAAACTTGTCACAATTGAGAAAAACATAAAATCAGTCTTCTAAAGAACACCTCACCCCACGCCCCCACCCCAGACCAAAGAAGCAATCTGCCCACTCAGGCCCCCCAACCTCGAGGGCCCTCGCCAACCGGGGTTCCTCACCCCTCCTGCCTCCCGGACACAACCACCACTAACCGAGGGACCGAAGCAGAGCCTAAGAACAAAGAAGGGCCCCCAAAATCTCCCCCACGCCGGCAGAGCCCGGAGCTGAATCCATTGTTTATGCCACCCCACCTCCACTAAGGCCGCACCCGCCCCCCCTTGCTTTCGGGGCCAACCGGAGCCCCAGGACGATCACTCGCCCAGCGCAGGGCAGTGCCCTCCCCTCCCCGTCCGTGGAGGCCCGGGGACCCCACCAAAGAGCTGCCCTGCCGCGGCGAGGTGACGTCTGGGGGGCCGCGGGACGTCGGCGGGGGCGGGGGCTGTTCCTCAGGGCACTGGAGGATCCATCCTCATCTCCATCTCCGCCCCCCTCTTCCTTAGCTGCTCCGAGGCTTCCTCCTCTCCAGTGTCACTGGGATCAGCTGATCAGAGTGAACTTCTCCCAGCTCAGACTAACAGGAAGGCGTGAGCGGTGAAGCCTCCGAAAGGAGGCGCGAGAGGGGTGGAGCCCGACTCCGGCGGGGGCGGAGAAAGGTGCACATGGCCTTCTGGGAAATGTAGTTCTGTACAGGGTGTCTTCCTCCTTCTTCCCGGAAGTGAGACCACTGAAAGACTACAACTCCCAGGACCTAAAAGAAAGGTCTTGCGAAAAGGCAGGGGAGGCAAGCCCCACCCCCCGAGCAGGTGCACTTCGGGACTTGGAGTGTTTGCTTTCATTGTGGTTTCTGTAGGTTTCAGCCTGTTGTTTTGGGGTTGAAGCTCAACATCAAGAAAACAAAAATTCTCTCTACTAGGCCAGTTCATTCTCACTACTAGGCAGCATCATGATAAACGGTGAAGAGATTGAGATTGTTAACAGCTTCAGTTTGCTTGGCTCCACAATCAACACTCTTGGTACCAGAAGCCAGGAAGTCAAAAGACGAACTGCATTGGGGGAAATCTGCTGTCAGGGATCTCTCCAGAGTACTGAAAAGCAACGGTGACAGTCTGGAGACTAAAGTGTGCCAAATCTGGGCAAAGGTCTTCACAATTACTTGCTATGCATCAAAAATCTGGTCAGTGACTAGGGATGATAGAAGGAATGAATGCATGCCTTTGAGTTGTGGTGCTGGAAAAGAGTATTGAATTTATCATGGACTGGTAGACGAACAAATAGGTCTGTCCTTGAGAGGGTGAAATCAGGATGCTCATTAGAGGTAAGGATTCTGACGCTTTGTCTGACCTACTTTGGGCATGTTGCAAAAAAGGGACCAGTCCTTGAAGAGGGACATATGCTTGGGAAGGTGGAGGGACAGTGAAAGAGAGGAAGACCCTGGATGAGATGGATTGACTCAGTGACTGGGGTAATGAGGGCGGATGTGTCGGAGACGATGAGGTTGGCTCAGAATAGAGCAGGATTCAGAGCTGTTGTAGGTAGGGTCGCTATAGTAGCAAATGACTAGACAACACTTAACAGGAACAACAACTGAAGAGTGACACTAAACTGGAGAATTGATAGAACAATGTGTAGTGTAGGTGGGAGAGAGGGAGACATTTTTTTTCCCCAAAAAATACCTGATTACTCATCCCCCTCACAAACAGGCAACAACCACTTCCTAAATTTAACATAACAAACTATTAAAGGACCAAAAAGAATTGCATTGATATTCTAAGTAGCATTCTAGGGTGTAACATTTTACCTTTGCTTTGGCTTCTCAGCACTCTA